GGAAAGTGAATGCTTTTATATAACCAGTGGGTAGTGGAGGGATGACTGAATTGTTAGGGGTTTTTTGGGCGGGAAAGGAAAAAATGGAGGGACCTCCAATTTTGTTTGTAATGTGAATGTATTTGAATGGTTTTAATCATTGTTATGTAATGTTTGATTGGATGTAAAACATTGTTTAAATAGTGTTTTCTCCCAACTACAACCAATAGTCTTCTTTTTTTCCTATTCATGACCTGCGCACCATTCATTTTCATTCCCTTCTTTTTCCTTCATTAAGGGCAATTTGGTCATTTCACAGGGTTAGTCAACTTCCCTTAAAAATGACCAAAAGTCAAAATGTAAACATTAATACCGGACGGAGGGAGTAATATTTTATATTATATATTAGATATTCTTAATTTTTTTTTATTTTTCCATATAATTTTTGTTATCATTGTGTGTACTATTTCACACCTATTTTTATTCTATTATCTTTATTCTTATTAAAAAATAATAGTGAATGTCTAACAAACACTTACTCCCTCCGTTCCACAAAACCCTTCTTCTTTCGTTTTTTTGCTTTCCACAAAACACTTCCACTTTCTATTAAAAACCACTTTTACCCTTACTTTTTCATACTCTACCTATCACATCATCCTTTTTCACTAATAACAAAACTATCTCATCTTACTTTTTCCCATCACATCAGGGGCAAAATTGGAAAGTCAACCAAAATTACACTTTCCTTATTTTCCCCCAAAGTCAAAATCGGAAAGGTTTTGTGGAACGGAGGGAGTATATAATAAGGCGATACTCATATTTTCAATAAGTAAATACTAAATAATGTATTCCTTTATACAATTCACATTTTAAAATTTGTATTTAGTTGATTAAAATGATTGGAAAAATAAAAAAAATGTAGCATATTAAATTATAATTAGTAAATATTAATTGATTTCTAATAATAACAATAAATTTTCAGGTATAAAATAAACAGAGTATATATATTTTCGAATAAAGTTTATTTACTTCTCAATGTTTTTGGAACTATTTTAAATATTCACTAGTGCATGTTTTCCCCGTGCTTCGCACGGGTTCGTATATTCTTAGATAAAATATATCTATAAATTTTATATTTCATTTTAAAAAAATGTAAAATTAAAAGTAAATTAGAATATGTATTGAAGTCGATATGCTACACTGCACAACCAATATATAAAACATGTAAGTATATTTTATATACGCGTGTACACATGAATTTTTTTTTTTTGATGTTTCTTGCGTGTGTACACATAAAATTGTAATATTCTTACGTAAAATATATCTATAAATTTTATATGCCATTTTAATAAAATGTAAAATTAAAAATAAATTCGTGCTTCATAGGGATGGGCACGATCCGTGATGGTCCGCGTTACTACTGGAACCTATCGCGGCATATATATATATATATATATATATATATATATATATGTGTATATATATATATATATATATATATATATATATATATATGAATTTTATATTTCTTTTTTAAAAAAATTGAAATTAAAAATTAATTCGTGCTTCCTACGGACTCGTATATTCTTATGTAAAATATATCTACAAATTTTATATTTCATTTTTTTAAAATGGGAAATTAAAAATAAATTTGAATATGTATTAAAGTCGATATGCTACTATTGATATATAAACCATGTAAATATATTTTATACATGTGTGCATACATGAAAAAAAATCTTTTGACCTACTTATAACTGACTCTCTAGATTTCTTATTTCAGAGATCGGTTAATATTTCTCGACTAAATGACTCTCTAGATTTCTTATTTCGGAGATCTGTTAATATTTCTCGACTAAATGGTTGAAGTCATTTCAACCTCGTCTATATCTATTATGTTTGTATACACTTTAATTCACCCAAATATATAATTTTGATTGTTAAATTTGAAATATAATTTTTTTGTTAGTGTTTGAAAAATTACTTTTTTAAAAATTTCAAACTATTTTTATACACGAAATTTACTAATTTTGAAATAGTCACAAAACATATTTAATATTTACGTAGAAAATAAGTTATCAATTTATCCAAAATATAATAGGATAAACATATGCAAACCTAAATACATTTGTGAATAGAATAAAATCATGAACGTGTCAACTTAAATTAATAATTTTAAAATCAATCATGCACTAAATCAATCCCTACTTGGTATTTTTAAATGATAACATGCATATATTGAAATAAAAAAAATTATTCTAAACTTCTCACAAATTAAATATACTATGTATTTCCTATCGCATATATCTTATAAATATTTATAATAATATAAAAGCAAATTATGTATAAAAATATATTTTAAAAAAATTATACTTAAAAGTAAAAAGAAATAAACTTGTGTACACACTTTTTTTTATTTTTGTGAACATGACCCTTCAATATTCAAATGTTTTTACATTTTTTATATTTAATATCAATAATTAAGCAGCCATATGGTATCCAAGTGGACAAATGAAAAGATGACACCTTTAAAGCCTAGATATTTGGCGTGACACATGGCGCAACCACATTTAATCCTCTCTACTTTATATATATACATATGATGATAATTAAGCAGCCATATGGTATCCAAGTGGACAAATGAAAAGATGACACCTTTAAAGCCTAGATTATGTGGCGTGACACATGACGCAACCACATTTATTCCGCTCTACTTTATTATATATATATATATATATATATATATATATATATATACACACACACACACACACACACACACACACACACACACACACACACACATATACACACACACATATGATATGGTGAATAAATACAAATGCACACATGCACAAAAAAGTATGTGGGCTACGGTTTGTAGTTAGTTTTACTTGTATGCCACATGTGAAAAAGAGTAAACACAACACTAATTATATGCCTACATTTTGCAATAAAAAGTGATTAGCTCGCTTGGCAAATAGGGCTAGGTTGGGAAAACCAAAAGCCGCAAACCGAACCGAAACCGATCGAAACGAGCTAGAAAAAAAAACCGAAGCAAAAAAACCGAAACCGAATGTAAAAAAACCGAACCGAACCGTTAGTGTTTGGTTCCGTTTTTGTTTTCACTTTGAAAAACCGAACCGAACCGAATAAACCAAACTTTCATAGATACTTCACTTTTTTTCTATAAATATATGTGATATGTAGAAAAATCATAGAAATATAAATGCAAATAAATTACTAGTCGATTAAAATTACTTTCTTAACTATTAATTAAACATTTTAGCCATACTATTATAAACTTTTAAAAAATCTAAGAATATAAACACCAATAGCTAATCCAAATAAAGAATTATATTAACATTAAATATTAATACGAGTAATTTACAAATTTACATAAAAAAAATACTTTGATGTTATAATAAAAATGAAAGTATTATACCAAAAAACACAAATTCTTCGTAATTAATTTTTACATACGATGTCTTTGGAAGTATTTGGAATCTCCTAAATGTTTGTTGGGTACTCAACACATATTTTTTTATGTAAAATTGAACCGAATGATACAATAACCTTCCGTTTGATTTTTGTTTTTGTGTAAAACTCAAACCAAAAAACCAAACCTAACACAACATATTGTTATTGTTCCATCGAGTTAGTGTTTTTACAATTTTTTAATGCTTATAAATTTCTACTTTGATAAACCGAAAAAACCGAAAAAAACCAAATTAAAAACCGTATAAAACCGAACCGAATAACCAACGGTTTACATATTTTTTATGCAAAACCGAACCGCCAATTTACCTTCCGTTTTGTCTTTGGTTTTGGGTGAAACCGAACCGCAAACACCGAACCCACCCCTATTGGCAAATAGGCATTCCAGTTGGAATGATGGTGTTCCGTTCAATTTCCACTTAGCCCTTGATTTGTACTCCCCTATCCCATTTTAAATTGCTAGTTTACTTTTTTTCTCTGTCCCAAAATAAATTGCTTGTTACTTGTTATCGTAAACTTTTAAGAGTAAAAATATCTAAACTACTTCTGAAATAAGTTACTCTTCTCCATATTATCTTCTCATTCATCGTCATCCCTCTTAAAAACTAATGACAATTTCGAAAAATCAACTCTATTTTTTCTCTTTCTTAAATATGTCCAAAAGTCAAAACAGACGATTTAAAACGGGGCGGAGAGAGTAAATATTAAAAATAATATAAAAGTAGGTTTAGAAGCAAACCCTTGAACCGACCGAGTCACCCCGAATCAGCCGGTTCTCCTGGTCTAACAGTTTTGGGAAAGTCAATCGGAGAGCAGGTTTACCCATCAAATCAGACAAGAATAGTGTTTGGGTCACGACCAAACATGTTGGACCGGCCGGTTGAGTCCAATTTCCATAACACTGCTTTAACTTGATTAAAACCAACCTAACCTATTTTCAACCAAATACCCAATCTAAAAATACTTGATTCTGAACAAAGATTTTGTTAATCCAATCCAATGATGATCACATCTATTAAAAATGGGTCAAACCAGAAACTACTGACCAGGTAAGGTAAGACTTTTTTAAATCATTAACTGTATAATTTAATACCATACGAAATATAAGAGCGTCAAGTAAATTGGCGATTTTAGTTTTAAGATGGAGAGTAGTAATAGTAGTAGTAGTAATAATAATAATAATAATAGTAATAATAATAATAATAATAACAACAACAATAACAACAACAACAACCCAGTTAAATCCCACAAGAGTAGGGTCTGGGGAGGGTGTGTGTACGCAGACCTTGCCCCTACTTGAAAGTAGAGAGGTTGTTTCCAAAGAGACCCCCGGCTCAACGTCAAAAGTTGCATTGCTTGACTAACTGCTACTTCATTAATTAAAGAAGCGCAGATAGTTTAGAGATCCATTTTGATTTATTCCATCACACCCCAAAGCCAAAAAATGGTGAAATTTTGGCTCCATCGGAGATTATGGAAATAACAACAACAACAACAATAATAATCATAATACCGTCGACGATTAATTGCAGAGTAATAGTCATGACACATTTCATTAAAAAATAAAAAAGAATACTTGCAATTTACTTTAGTTTAATGAGTCCACTTTCATATCCACAGCTTTCTCCCGCCATCAATCCATCCATAAAAAAACAGTGCTCAAACAAAATTAAAGCACATTCAATCAAGTTCACCGTACTCCATCTACCTATATCTGCAACGGCAAGAGAAACTTATGATATTATGCAGCTTGTTTCAAGGGAAAATTCCAGTTCCAGAAAATAAAGCATTATGTGAAAGGAAAAAAAGAAGAAGAAGAAGCCGTACACTTACAAGGTCTGTGGAGAGGGAGGGGGGGGGGGATTGATCCCAGATTTTGCTTCAAGCAATTGGCACCGTGACCCCCAAAAATAATGGACTTTTGGTGAGAGGGTTCCATAGTTATGGGATTGGATTTGTCGGCGGATCGTCCTTCAGACCAGTAAGCAAATCATAATTGATTGACGCAAGCTGAGAGAGGTTCTGGTAGATAAACAAAACAAAAGAGAAGATGTTTACGCAGTTGCAAAAATAAATGTTACTGAAAAAGAATAAATCACAATAATCCGGAAGTCGATGTACTGAAAACTTAGTCATTATTTCTTTGATTTTACAATGTACCCTCACAAACACAACAGAAATATTGGAGTTAAGAAGCACAAGTTGACTGACCAAAGAATCATCATCATTATTATCAGCACCTTATTCAACAAGTACGGGTCAGAAATGAATAGCATAGTGCCAACAGCAAACGCATTAAGGTTTGATAGAATTTAGAATGGGGTAAGGATAACTGGATTGGCCAATAAGACACTTTAGCTGAACCATATTAAAAGATTGAATCCAATCGATTACTTAGTTCCACTAAAGAGCTTATATACCGATTCATTTTTTCTTCAAGTTCCGATGTGGGGTACTTTCTCTAACAAGGTTGAAGGGTACAATAAGAAAGTCAACACGATTTTCATCAGACTTAAATATGTGTGCCCGGTCAAACCGGAAAGATAAAAATGGACAGAGGGAGTACATAAAAACAGAATTCTAAGCCTCGCAAATGGCAGTAAGCTTGCTAGATGGCACAAAACACAAAGCCATCAAACTGGGATTGTACGTATGAATAACAACAACAACAACAACAACATTACCCCAATGCCTCAAAGGCTCCCGCCAAGTGCGGGGTAAGGGGGGTGGGATGTACACAACCTGAACCCTATGTTTAAAACATAGTTTGAGATGACACATGATAAACGTCAAAAGTTGCATTGATTAACTGCTATTTCACTATTAAAGAGCCATTTTGCTTTATTCCACCATACCCCAAAGCCTATAAAAAATAGTGAACATTTGGCTCCACCGGAGAGATGATGGAAAATTTTACGTAAGGATATTGTTGGTATATTTCCTGAAGGGGTTAAACGTATGGCGTAACAAAATACTCCCTGCAATGGATTTCTTAATATTGACTAGAAATATAAAGCTAATCCACTTACTATGTGGAATTGTGGAGTACAACTTAAAACCACCAAAATTAGATCAACAACAACAACCCAGTTGAATACCGCAACAGCAGGGTGTGCGGAGGGTGGTGTACGCAGACCTTACCCCCACTAAAAGTAGAGTGGCTGTTTCCAGGAGACCCCTGCTCAAGAGGCTGTGGAGTACAACATAAAACCCCTAAAATTAGATCATGATGAATTTTACATTTGACAAAGGAATTACCTTGAATGAGAAGTTACTGAAAGAATATCTGACAGGAGAACCCGACTCAGATTCTGCAAGGCCCCCGCATTCTTCACCCTGCTTCCCCTTTACCAAAATAAACCTCACTGAAGGCTGAAAAAGAAGCTTTTAACATATCAAGAAACTAAGACACATTGCAAGACCAACCTACCAGTTCGTCATGACGGCTCAAGCAACTACTGCTACCACTTGTGCTACAATTATCACTTGAATAATCAATGTCACTGGTTTCTAGTACACGTTCATCTGAAGCATTCCAAGAGAAGCGACTACTGAAGTAACTGGTATCAAGGGCACTCTCCGAGGTAGGAACAAATGCAGCCTGAATATATACATGAATATGTTAATGTGTGTGTGTGTGTGAAAAAAGAGTTTTCAGGGTTGTGATTTTAAGATAAGAACAAAGTTTCATATTTGATTTAGGGAATTTTCTTAGAGTTCAAACCAAATGGATGCTATACCTTCTGTCTTGCTAGTGTGTCCCAGTTAATATTCATGAAAAATGGATGTTTCTTCACCTACATCAGGAAGGAAATAGTTATTTTCCAATAAACCAAATGATTAGTGTGTACAAACTACGAAGGGAATATGTACCAACTCAATGACAATATAGAGATTAAAGAAGCTATCACCTCAGTTGCTCCTTGGGCTCCAAGCCTTTGGTTAGGATCTTCTGTCAGTAAGCTGCATGGAAATAATGCCTGGGTTAAACTAAAAGTTAATAAGTGAAACACAACTACAAATCATCCTTGACCCTATGTCTAGATGAAGTTAGAACTTAGAACCCTAAGAAATACACTTATGTCCATATTAAGAGGATACTGAAAGGAATCATCATATCAAGGGTATCAAAAGATAATGCTCCTCCATTTTAAAAACGAGTATATAACATCATGTACCCATTTATGTATTTCAATTATATTATACTGAGTATCAAGTTATATCATTTATAGCTAAAGCATCTCCAAACAATTTTTCCCCTACATTTTTAGTTTCAAAAGAGAAATTATTAATAACAGCATTTTTCTAAATTGTTTATACATAGGAGGTCATGCTCAAACGATGGATCATGTTCCAGTCCACCTTGTACCGAAAACAAAAAACTTCCTATCGATAATCTGCATGTTATGGTGTAATTTCAAAGTTAACTATAACAGATCTCAATAAAAACCAAAGGAATGAAACAAATAAAAACTAAGCCCTTACCGATCAATCAAGTCCTGTGCTTCAGCGCTCATTTCTTCGGGGACCAGGGGCCAAGGTATCTTACGATTAAGAATGTTATCAAATATTTCCTAAACAAAATGACACAGGAAAATGTTCAGCAACTTCTTAATGGTGCACAATACAAAATAATACTCCCTCCGTCCCAAATTATTTGTCCTAGTTTAACTTTTGAGCTAACTTTGACCATAAATTGTGAGAAAAGTATATTCAATTATAATGTAAATTTAATAAAATTGGGTTCTTTTAAGATGTAGTTTTGATATATCATATTTTTATAACTGCTATTTATTTAATGTTATATTTTATTTGTAGTCAAAGTTAGCTTAAAAGTCAAACTAGGACGAATAATTTGGGACACAGGGAGTATTACTCGAAAAAGGATCTTTGTGTAATAAAGGGTAGTTATAAGAAACACATGCTGTTGTCCATTGAGCACTAGGAAAATCAATAATTGATATATAACATCTTTTGACTTGACTAGTGGTGAGAGATCATATATGAGAAAGCAAAAACTGAGTGTTCAGAACATAGACTATGGATCTAAGGGATGCATGGAGAATGAGATTGCACAGCATTTGCAGTGATATAAGGAAAGAAAGCAACATGAAAGAATATGAAATCCTTGCCTGAGGATGCTCTGCATTGAATGGTGGAATGCCCACAATCAACTCAAAAAGAATAACACCCACAGACCACCAATCAGCTGTGAAACCTGGAATTGTTCAAATAGTATGGGGCAGTGAAAAAATCAGTTTTGTAAGAAAGACCAAAAAAAAACATATGATCTTTTCTACAACAGCCATAACCACTAAATTTAATGGGCCAAAAAACACAAAGATGTGATGATTATGACATGGATTACAGAATGCCTTTGCCTATTGTACGAGAACACATAGGAAGTACTATCTGTTTACGAACGATATATAGTTGTGGATTATATGCGAGGAAACATCAATGAGAAAATATTGTTGTTTCACTTTCTTTTCCACTATGTTTGGTTCATGGAATTAGGAAGGAAATGAAATAAAAATAGTTTTCTCTCATTTTCCTCACCCAAATGGGAGGAACTTTGTTTTCCCTCTAAGTTCATTTTCTTTCTCATTTCCTTTTCCTTCAACTTTTCTTTTCTTTTCCTCTTTAACCAAACAAGAAAAATTATTTCCCATATCACTTTCTTTTCCTTTCCTCTTCAAATTCCTTGAACCAAGCATAGTGTTCAGGAGAGCTGATGAATAAACAATGATATACGGACCATGTCCTGTTCCTAGCAGGATCTCAGGAGCAAGATAATCTGGAGTGCCTACAGCAGAACGCTTTTTAGGTCTTTCATGCTGAGGCTCAGATGAAGATAGCTGAGATTCATCTTCATCCATTATGGATGTTCCACTGACTGCTGGACCAGATAGATCATCCGTGCTATTAATGAGACCCACTTTTGAAAGCCCAAAATCTGTCAGCTGAGCAATTTCAAACCAGTTAATTGTGATAGTAAGCATGGTAATAATTAACTGGTATTGAATGTTTAAGCATTATTATGTAAAGACCATGTAAGTTTTACAAAATAAAAAAAATAAAGAATATAAGGGGTAGATGTAAGGTCTGCATACATTGCCCTTCCAAGCTCCAGGGTGGGATATATCGGGTATTTGGTTAACAAAGTATATTCTTCTCTCATTAATGCTTATACATAGCCTTAAGACTTATGGCAGGAAGCAAGAATCTTAAAAAAAATTACTGTTTTAAAGAGAAAAAATATACGACCATACGGGATACAAAAAAATATGTAGACAAGGAACATGATTTTTTTCTTCCCTCTTTTAATTGAAGAAAAAATAGGGCGCATCTGACTTTGGCATCAATCCGATGATAGTCTAACTCAGGTGTGGACAACATTACAGCTCCGAGGCTATGGGGATACAATTTCTGTTAGTTCCTTGTGATGCTCCACTAAGAGTTTTATCCCTTTTTGGCTTTTTTGCAAAAGAATTGATTTTTCATTGTTTAGCTTTTAGCTATTTGGAGTACAGTAGAGGTTTAGCATCTTGTCCGTCATCCCGGTTGTTCCTATGTCATCCTGCTCTGAAGTCACCGTCATGTTGTGGAAAAGATTCTTGCATTAACAGAAATTATGTTTCATGCCTCACATATACGATCTTGGCATGAAGTTCAAAATCTGATTCTACCATGGATTCAAGAGGTTTGATGCAGACATAGATGCTTCACATGCAATCTATGATTTGAAAGCGATCCAGACGTTGAGTACACAACTCATCTGGAATAGAGCTGCGAGCACGTCCTTGGAAAAGGTGCCGAAGGTGTAACATGCCATGTAGATAAGCTTAAAAAGGGTTTCAGTTTGAAGTCTAACTTAGTAAGATTTGTCATTACCTTAGAAGAGGCATTCTATTGTGCGGACCAGTGTAATCTTTATGAAAGTTTAGTGGAGGGTTCTTACATGGACGTGGGCCCCGCAGAGTCGGAGGATTTCTCCGAAATTGTGTAAACAACTCTGTTTGTATTGTTTATTGCTTTCATATTTTTATGCTCGTGTGTGTTACTGTGTAGATACTGTAGCACGTTGTCTGCCAATCTTGTTGTAGTACTACAGCATCATCATAGGACTTTGCTTGATTGATTCGGTTTGTCCACATTGTTTATTTTACTTAGGTACCCTCTGCACTCTGGATATTTTATGTTTGACAATTCTAAATTTAGGAGATACTCCCTCCGTCCCTGAGTATTTGTTCACATTTGACTTTTTTTGATCAAAACTGGTAAACTTTGACCTCAAATTAAATAAAAATGATATTAGATATTGATACAAAAATAGTTTTATTATATTTATTATATCAAATATTTTCAAAATGTTATTTTATTTAATTAATACTACCACTGTCCCAGCGTATTTGTCCAGTTTGACTTTTTCGAGTCAAACTGGGCAAACTTTAAACATCTATTACTCTCAATTTGTATTGCATATTAGTATGATGAAATACAATCTTGAACATTCTTAGTAAGATAAATATAATTAAATCATTTTTATACTAAAATACATTACAGTTTGAAAGTAATTGAAGCTCAAAGTTCATCTTGTTTGACTCGAAACAGTCAAACTCGACAAATACATTGAGACGGAGGGACTATACAATATATATTTTATTTAATTATAGGTCAAAGGTTGAAAACAGTTCACCAAAAAAATTCAAAACTGGACATACTCGGGGATGGAGGTAGTATCATACATAGGCATGTCCGAACAGTCTTTCACAAACCAAGTAGACTAGTAGCTTTGAGAAGGCACCACCCTCCAGAACGGCTAATTGTACTAGACTGCTAGAGAGGTGCAAGGGGTCTGTACAGCGTAACCGGAACAACCATATGGGACTGGTGGAAGAACGAAGAAGTCCACAAGAAAATGGAGGCCAAGAAGACAGCGAACATGAGTTTTGTGGAAGCTGTAGGAGGAGAAGAAGATTATGGACAGAAAGTTTTAAGAATGCAAAGAAGAAAATTAAGGTAGTGATTACGGCAGTAAAAATTGCAGCTTCGCAAGCATTTCGAAGTGAGACCATGAGAGAAGAGATTGTAGTGACTGACCAAGATAAGAGGGCGGAAGTCACATGATTTGACCAAATGAAATGCGTGAAGGACAAAGGTGTTGTATCCCCTGGTACTACACCTGACCCTCAAATCCTTAAACAAATCAGTGGAATCATGTCTAAGTGTTACGACCCTTTCTGGAATGAATTCTCCAACCCCAAACCATATTACTTAACCCTGACAACCTTGAGCCTATCTCCATCCTAAAAGAGCCATATACCCTGCCCAGACTACCCCCTCCCTACTTGAGTCACTCCATCAAAATAACACATTTTG